ATAAACTAATTTATATTTTATTATAAACTAACTTATAATCTAATTTATTAAAACAATAGCGTCTCGTCTGTTTTGAAGGAATATAATGGATTTAGAGAGATTTGTATTTCAAATCAATTCCAATCCTATGTTTGGTTTGTTGGATTATTCGAATTTGAAATCCTATGATTTAATTGAAATCCTACAAATATAGGATTTTAAAATTCTGTAACGAGTGCTCAAGATTTCACGGGATTTCGATATGGAATAAGGTTTTAAAAAATGTTGAAAACATATATTTTATAATAATCGATTAATAAAAATGTAAATTAATTATTTTTATGATTATTTGTAGTTTTCTAAAAAATTATTTATAAATAATGGAATTCAATTTCATTCCAAATCCTACAAACCAAACACACCAATGATTTCAAATTCATTCAAATCCAGATCCCTCTATGAGATTCAAATCCCTCAAAAACAATCTTACAAGCCAAACAAAATATAAGAGTCGGGAGTTCTTGTTTTTCGATTATACCCTTGAATATTATTACTTATTATTAATTTTGAAAAACAAAAACTTGTAAAAGGAATTAAATTATTGATTTCGTTGTTCGTGGGGAACTTTTGCCGATAAAACGACATGGTTATATAAAACTCGAATCATTAAGTATCGTAACTGTTATATATGTGTTTAAACTGTGCTTTTTATATTACTCTTATAGAAATACAACAATTAAAAGTTGGGAGATTAATATTTTAGCATGATATGTCGTTCAAACGCAAAATTGAGAGATAAAAAGGTAAATTGTGTAGACGGGAAAAAATCCCCGATAGAGATGGGGATTGAGATCCCAGTTGCGGTCTCTAATCTGAATACATCACCGACTTGGTGAAGTAAAAGTCCTAGGTCGACCCTTTTGCCTTCTAGATACCGATAAACCAAACACCTAGGAACGACTCTCTTCTCAAAGCTAAAAACAGATGACTATAAGCAACTTCTTTCCCAATCGACTGTATTAACAAGAAAATTCAAGATTTGCGTAAATCTTATTCGTTGAAGCGATCATACACCCTGGTTTCTCGAAAGCGACCAAAATCTCCTCTTTGGACCAACCCCATTTTTAGATCGATTTTCTCGTCCCCTTGACAACATGAACAACCCGAAAGAAAACTTGTTTTTGAAGTATTGAATCCCATTCTCTTCACATCCCTAACGACCTTTCAAAATCTATCACCGGTTGTAAAGGAAGTTCTTCGAACATTGCTACAATACACGATTTGGGCTTTAAAATGTTGGGAAACACATAAAAGAAGTAGCAACGTTAGAAAGAAATGTTCAGAAACTGCAAGGCAAAAGGTCGTGTGAGAAGTGAAGTTATAATGAAAAGCGTAAGAAGTAAGATGATAGGATAGCAATCCAAAATGGATTCAACTGCAAGGAAAAAGATCGTGTGAGAAGTGAAGTTATAAAAAATGAAGTTATAATGAAAAGCGTAAGAGATCTGAACCCTTGATTACTTTCAATCTCATGTCTACCCATGAATTTGCTTTTTAGAAGAGAGTTGATCTAGTGTATCCTGATGCACCTCATTAGTGTTGACATTCAATTAAGATTGACTAAGGTTGAAGATCTTTTATTACGCTTCTCACTGGAACTCAATCCTCACCTCAACTGCAAATGTTTTTTGAATTTTCATTCCAAACCTAATGAATTCTGCACCTCTTTCATTCCAAAACAACATGGCAAACCCATTTCAATCGAAAATGGATTCAACTACCGATCGACTCCACAATGAATTTCTGCACCACTTTTAGATCACTCGATTGTGACTGATAATTGATGATAAACAAATGAAACCCCACATTGCAACAAAATCTATCTTTCCCGATTGTTCCTTCTATTTAGAGAAATTGGCCAAAATAGTCATTTCTCACTCCTAAATTGGTCTCCTAGTCATTTCTCTCCCGAATTTACCCAAATGTCTCTATGTCCGCAAGTCCCACATCCGCCACTTGCAGACTCAACTAAAAGACAAAAAAGAAATTCAAATCATAAACTTGGCTATTGCAATTGTGGACCTGAGTCAAATCTGATAATTTTTTTTGTCTTTTAGCTAGGTCCGCAAATGGCATACGTGGGACTTGCGGACATAGTATATTTGGACAAACTAGGGAGAGGAATATCCGAGAGACCAATTTATGTGAGAGAAATGACTATTTTGTCCGATTTCCTTTTTATTTATACCCTTTGTTCTTCTCTCTCTCAATCATGGAAAGCCCATCATTCATCTTGTTTTATTTTGATGAACTTTAACCAAAATCATAAGGGGCTATCTAGTATGTTGGACTTCCCAGTAAATAGTTAAAAATGCTATACATAGCACCAAACAAGCAAAAAAAAAAAATCCAAGTACAAGAGGGGGAGCGTATAAGTGCCGTTTACTAAAGGTTTATTTGGGTAAGTACTTACCAAGTTACATTATCTTACTCGGATGAGTACGGTAAGTATCAATAATCTTATCCGGTAAGAGCGAGAAAACGAGCGAGAAAACGACCGAGAGTCTTACCCAGTAAGTGAAGAAGACGACTCTTACCACAGGTAACACTTACTGGGTAATTTGTTGCATATGATGCCGTTTTTGTTGACTAAAATCTTACCGGATAAGTAAGTGATGGTGTTAAATTTTACGGGTAAGTGTTTGGTAAACTGCCCCTAAATCGCTATAAATTTTGTCTTGCAATTCTCTTTGTATCTTTATCTCAATTAGTTTTTTTCCTCTCTCTTCATATTACAAATCTATGGGGTTTGGTCATTGTTTTCCTTATGAAATGTTTTTAAAACAATTTCTAAATCAAGAACACCATCTCATCATAAGACCCATTGTGGAGAAACAAATTGAAACAACACAGAAACATGTCAACCATAATTACTTTCATCTGACAAACAATTAACATTTAAATAGATCGAAAAAATACCTCGGTGAAGAACGATAACCTTTTCTTTACTTCAATCTACAAATAAACGCTTGGTGAAGAACGATGAGAGACAGATGAGATTGACTTTAGGGGCCGTTTAGAATAAACGCTTATTGGATAAGCGCTTACCGACAAGAGATATCACCCTTACTCACCTTATTGTGTAACATTCTCGGCCATAAAAACGGATGGTTGGTAAGCGTCTTAAACCCGGTAAGCACTTCCCTCATTTATTGGGTAAGACTCTCGGTCTTTGCTATGTCTCTTACTGGATAAGATTGTCGATCCTATCCATGCTCAATCGGTAAGATAAGTGATATAAGTAAGCGCTTACCAGTAAGTGTTTAGTAAACGGCCCATAAGATAGATTAAGATCAACAACCTGGGATCGATAGAGATCGTGGATCAATTTAGGTTAATCGTTTGGGAGAGGCCAGGATTTAGAAGCGAGGAACGGGGAGGATCCGATTTGAGAGAGGCATGCAATAATCTGGAGAACAATAAGGGTGCGTTTGGTGCGCAGACAGGACAGGACATCTGTTCAGCGTTTGGTAAGACATGACAGGACAGGACAAGATAGTACTGGTTAAAATGACCAATTTACCCCCAGTGAGTTGTTTTGTGTTTTTTTACTAAATAATCAAATATAAAGCTATGTTAAAGCTCCCATGTGCGACAATCAAAATATGTTCAAGCATCTAAACATAGCAATCCCAACATGTAATAGCAGTAAATCAATTTTTAAGCATACTGTGCATACAGAATTCGTGTAGAAGACATGGGTTTGGAAGCATACTGTAACGTTCGTATTCACTCGACAAAGATCTCAAGAACAATAGGGTGATCATTGATTGATCAAAAACCCACCAAAACCCATATATTGACATACTACGCTACATCTCAAAACTATATGAAATTATATCTAACTTACAGTAATTCAACTTGAATCGTATTCACTCGACACCAATAAAAATGCCAAATTTTCATCAGAAAAAGACTATACATAAATCAATAAAAAATTCTATGTCGAAGTTATAACACAGACGAAAATTGATGGCAGATCTAGGGTTACAATCACAAGTTTGGTGCATTAGAAGAAGACAATGAAGAATAGATAAAGACAGCGAGAGGAAGAGGGCGGAGATAGCGAAAGAGATAGAGACAGAAAGAGTGAGAAAGGGAGAGGGATACCTGATGGTGGAAGAAGAAAACCCTTGTCTTTCGCTGCTGCTGTGTACTGGCGAAAATGGTGAAGAATACCACTGTAGGAGAAGGTAGGGTGCGATGGAGACAGAAAGAGTGAGAAAGGGAGAGGGATACCTGGTGCTGCTGTCACCGATCGCCGATTGATGAAGGAGAGGTAGGGTGGGATGGAATGGAGGAGCGATGGAGAATGGAGGACCGATGGGGAAGGACGCACGAGATGAAGTGAGGGTAGATTAGTAAAAAAAACCTTGTTCTACTTAGTTCTAGGGGGGTAAGGGTAAACACCCATGTCCCACCTTTGTTCAGGTTAGTTCCACTTAATAACACACCAAACATGGGACAAGTGTGTCCTGTCATGTCCTGTCCCTATTCCACGCACCAAACGCACCCTAAGAGACAAATAAGGAGTGGGTTCACCTCTTATTTCATCAGAGGATAGTAAGTGATAAGAGGTCTGAAAAAAGGAAAAAAGAAAAAGTCTGATTTGGTTGACATCTATCATACAAGTGATAAGAGGCCATTAAGAAGATTTTTTTTTAAAAACAAACAAGGTCTTATTTCAAACAAAACTTAATGCAGAAAAATGTTTGATTAAAAAGTGTGTAAATGAAAGATATCAACACCACAATCGCAAATACAAACTTGAAATGCGAAGAGACAAGGTTTAGAGAAACTTCACAAACGATGTAGCATGGTTCACCAAAGCTCGGCTACATCCAGACCGAGACACCTTATCGGGACGATCCACTGTAAATGTTCTTTTACATCGGAAGAACAAAAATCGTTATGCACACAACGATTTACAAAGATGAACATTTTCTTAACTTCTGGTTAGGGATATGTGGATGCTTACAAATGAGAATATCAAATGGAAGCTAAAGTGGTGAAATTTTTCTATCTTTGGATGAATATGGAATCAATGCATGAAACTTGAGAAAGATTTTGATTATAAACCAACTCCCTTCTTCCTATTAGATACAAACTCAACCTCCATTAAACGATTCGACTACCTAGTTTTCATTTTGATGACCATAGTGGTAAACTTCGCAAGGATGAGTTTACCTTCAAACCTAAGGTGACGTTTGGTTCACATAATGTTTTTGGATGGAATGGAATCTGTCAAATAAAATTGGAATGGAATGATGTCACGTTTGACCACTTGTTTGGTTGGCAGAATTGGAACGGAATCTGTTAAAGGAATTGGAATGAAATTAACGTAAATGACTAAAATACCCTTGCTAAACAGATATAGCATCTGGAAATCAATATAGCAAACAGATACAACATCTAGAAATCGAAACCATAGAAACCATAGATCGAGAGAGTAGGGTGAAGCATAAATCAAACCATACAACATCAAATAAATCGGACCATAACCAAATTGAAATGATAAATCAAACAGAAATCAAACATAAATCGAACCAACAAACTAAAATCGAACAAAAATCGAAGCATAAACCGAACAATAAATCCCTTAAATCATAGAGACAGTTGATGGAGAAGACGAGAGAGTATTTTCAAACTTGTGAAGACGAAATTGAACCTGCGTGAAAGACGAAATCGAACCCTGGTGCCGCAATGGAGAAGACAAGATGTTCTCGAGAGTTTTTCCAGATCGACGAGAAAAGGTGTCAGTTGTGAAAGGTATTAGTGTATATTTGGAGTTAAAAGGTATTTTGGGAATTATGAACAGGTTAAATTCCATTCCATTATAATACCATGTATATCTCATGATATGTCAAAATCCCTCATTCAAGGAATTTGATGGAATTTAAAGATTCCTTCCACTAAAAAGAATGAACCAAACAAAGGAATGGAATGTGGTCAAAGGAATTCAACATTCCAATTCCATAAGATCCTGAAGGAATCTATGAACCAAACGCCACCTAAGATTGATGGTCAAAGCCAAATCATGCACCCCAAATTTGCAATATAGGGTTCGGTTGTCATTTGAAGGAATGTGGTATATCTAGCTTTCATATTACAGAGTCAAGCAGTCTTGTATTATTGAATAAATACAAGGAAGGAAATCTATTATTCTACACTCATTACACCTCTACAAGAATAGAAGACATAGTGAACACTAGGGGACTCTTTGTTAGCAGCTTAATAGTGACTTACAGCTTATTCGGTCAGCTATATATGATTGTTCGGTAGTGGCTTATTCAATAACCTTCTAGGGGGAAGCATTATGCAAAACGTCATGTTTTTTCCAAACCTACCCCTCCCAATTAAAAAACACACTCCTATCTATCAACACCCCCCCCCCCAAAAAAAAACACGAAAACCTTCCCAATCTATACACAAATTTAACCACACATATAGGTTTATCCATACAGGACTTAATGAAAAACCAACCAAACAACCCCTAGGATTGCAGATTGCTTCTATTCAGTTGTCTCAAAATTTCCAACTTAATCTTCCGTGAGGAAAAAAATTACTCATTCTTGTTGTGAATTGGGTTTTGTGGTTAGAATTACTTGGATAATTTTCTAGACCGTGTTTGGAAATCGCTTTCCATATACCGTATTTCGTCCCTATTATGCCTTGGGTTTACACGAAATCAGTACCGGGATAATCTAGAATAATCATACGTGAAATAAATATGGCACCAATTTCGTATATATAGTACTTAGATCACAAAATTATGTATTTATAAGAGAGATCGACAGTTATGGCGGTTAAACGGTTGTAATCGTTAATGGATAAGGTCAAAAGATAGTTACAACCAAATCTTAAGTTCTGGAAAATACATCTTCAACGACAGCTGAAGGCTTTTAGCGATGGCCTTCATGGATGGCCTTTCAGCGACAGTTGAAGGCTATTCAGTGATAGCTAAAGGCCTTTCAGCGACAGCTGAGGCTCTTCAGCGATGGCTTATCAACGGCTGAAAGCATACAAGACTTAGAAAATTTCCAAGTCTTTTAGAACTTAAGGGCTCAGCTCCTAGGAACCCCGCAAGGGGGCGCGGCCTCCTTGATCCCAGCTTTATGGTGATCTAAGGTGATAGGGGAAACATTTGTGAGTGTGCACTCCGCACCTCCTAACTCACATATTTTTGTATCATTGCCACAATCGATCTCAAGTAAATCACAATTACACCAAATAGTTGATGACACTAAAATCACCAACAATTCTTAAACTCATCATTACATTTTTCTTTATACAAGTACTCACCATTAACTCAACCTAAGTAGATAATGGACTTCTATCTATGTCAATAAATTTTAGAAATATGAAACAATTTTATGTTCTATGAGAATAAAGTATCATGCATGTGAACAATAATCAATTAAAACAATTCAAGCCTCAAGAGTGAATATATTGAATTGTAAATAAGAGCACCTCATTAGTAATATCTGAAAAACGTACCTCTACAAAGAAATCATGGGGCCTTGTCTTCGAAGAGAACTTTATAGAAGCGTTTTCTTTCCTCGGGATCAAATATACCACCAAGATCATCATCTTCTGTGCCATCTTCATCATTGACAGGGTCTTTTTTCCCTTGTTTCATTGCTATCATGCCTTTCTTTCTCTGCTTTTCTAAATTTAGCATATGGTGCCTTCTATTATACTCATGAAGTCCCTCCTGCATCAGTTCCCCAAATTTCTCCTTTACAACCACAAGTGGATCTTTGACAAGCAGTTCTGACCCTCTATATCCTTCTCTAAGCAGAACAGTATAAATTTGATATTTATTTGAAACGTAGAAGATTCCAGGATGCTTGAGCAGCAAAACATTTAACTTTTCTGGTAAACAGAATTCCCTCCTGAAATGACCTAGCTTGATGATTGATGCCTTCTTCCATAGTGTAAGAGATAGGAATTCATGCACTAAACCAATTGTTCTCTTCTCTAATTCCCTTGACCCCTCTTCTAAACCTCTGGGATCCACGTAAGGGGAAATGTAAGGATATGAATCGAATTCACGAAATCTCTCCCATGATTTTACCCAACTTGGGGGCAACGAACATGGGAACGATGGCTTGCAACCCTGCTTTTGAGCTATTCTTTCAATGGTAGAGACTGCCAGGTCTGGCTTCCAGGCGGTGAGCTCAATTTCCATTGAACTCTTCCTCCCACTATAATTGACGACTCGAAACATATCAAGATGCTTCGGTATGATTCTTATCAAATAATCATCCGGTAATCCTAAATATCTCTTCAATTCATTGAGTTTTGAGACACTGAGTCTATGATTAGAAACCATCATCAATACCTTGGCTAATCTCTCAACAAATACTGTTTCCTGCATATCCTTTACGGATTCTTCTTCTTCTACCAGACAGAGCATCTTTTTGGTCAACCGACAATGATATTCATCATTTTCAAGGTGTATTTCAAAGCAACATGGGTATTTCTTAATCCAATTGAGGGCTTTCCCTTGAAGATCAAGATTTTTGAACTTCTTCTGGAGGAAACTAACCGATGCCACCTGATCAGGACACTGCAAGATTATGTTTTTAATTTGGTTATTTACAATCCATCGACGGTTTCTAGTTAAGGAAGCTTCAAGATCTGGGTCTTTTTTCATAGACCATAGAGAGAACCTTCGGAGAAGATGAAGATGCCACGGAGGAAAACAAATCGCAGAAGCTGAAAATTTTGGATTCTGCACATAAATATTGATTACCATTTTCCCACTTTGCATCTTCATTATTTTACCGAGACCTAATCCTGTTTGAAGAAATAGAAAAATTATATAATATAACACAAAATCTTCTCATCTATTTATTGGGGATAATTTCCACAAACTGATGCAAACATGTCCCAAACAATAATACTATTAACATGTACAAGTGAAACCCAACAATGATGCAAAGTAAGCGGTAGTATTCAAATATCCCAAACAGATAACAATGCAAAATAATGATAACCAACAACATACATGCAATGGAACACACCTAAAGAAGACAACGATTAACATGATTCAACTATTGTGAAATGGCGTGCATCCACAGGGAAGAGACTAAGGGGCCGTTTACCCAACGTTTACCCGGGTAAGCGCTTACCAAGTCGCATTACCTTACGGGATGAATATGGTAAGAATCAAGCATATTACCCGGTAAGAGCGAGACAAGGATCAAAAGTCTTACTCAGTGAGTGCGACGACTCTTACCCCGATAAGCGCTTACCGGGTAAATTATTGTATACTATGTCGTTTTGGTAAACTAAAATCTTACCCGGTAAGTACATAATAGTGTTAAATTTTATCGGTAAGCACTTATCGGGTAAGTGTCTGATAAACGGCCCCTAAGCTTTTATATATTGATAATCAATAGAGGCACAATTACAAACAGTTCACCTTTAACAAAGATGCAATAATCAATCACAAGGCATCCTCCTAATGGCACCCACACTTGTCCATTGTCGCAGAAGAGAAGAAGCAAAACAAGAGCCAAACTAAACTAAGCCCTAGATTGAGCATTTAACCTTCTGCCCTTGTATGCGACCTGGAGGTTGCATAGTTGCATATGGAGCTTGCTGATAAGTGTGACAATTGTTAATGTTATAGCAACATTCCCTTTAAATTTAGGAACATTATCAACTCTAATGAGAACAATATAATTCCGGTTCGTATTAACAGTCATAGTTATACTATTTTTAAAGTTACCCCGGGTCACCTCAATAGTTTCTATTATTAGTATTATGTTTCATGTTTTAGCTAGTCCCAGTTATCTTGTATAAGAGTTCATTAATGCTGATGATGAATTGATCAATTTGTTTGGAATGCATGATATTTGACCATATTAAAGTATTTGGTACAGTTGTATACCGTATAAGTGTTCCTAACTATGTGTGGTTGATTAAATTTTAAATTTGCTTTAACATGGTTGGGTTAGTTAGAATTACAACATTCTGTTGTCACCGATAAAGGTGAAGAATGCATGGCTTTCCGAAACGCTTGAGTACCCTTTTTATTTTATTGACTCTTCGGAGTAAGTTCCTTGGCTTGGACAGGGCATTTAGTACATGTCAGATGCGAGCCCCTCCTTGGGCGGATTCCTTGCTTCTCAGCCTACGAGGTATTAGCAGCCGTTTCCAGCTGGGGGTGGATAATATAAATCCAATGCAGATGCTAACAAATTAGACTGTTAGACAATTGAATTGATAAACGTAGATGACGAGAACCTAATCGATTTGAATGTACATTTATCATCATCTTCTTTTCTAATTTGTTTTAGCTTTTGGTTTTATGCATACTGATTACAGGTTAGGATTTGAATTCACTGTCATAAATTTTCAAGTTCATTTGGTTATATACCTTCGATGTTTATGATTAGGTAAGTGTATATCTAATAAGATGATGTGGGTTTTTATCATAAAGAAGATGGAGGAGAAATAAAATTAGACAAGTCGGGCATTTTTACAAACACTTGGCATACATGACTTCTTAACTCTAAAATAATTTAATGATAGGCTTATTATATCTTTCATCCATGAAAACGGTGAAGGCAAAACACAGAGATCACAGCATAAGCAAAACTACAAAATAAAAATCCCAGTTCATATGGTAAGCAAGACTACAAAATAAAAATCCCAGTTCATATGGTAAGCAAGACTACAAAATCAAAATCCCAGTTCATATGGTAAGCAAAAAACAACAGAACAGTTAAATTTTCTAAACCGAAACACATAATTTTTATTCACAGCAAACAACATATAAATCAAAAGCAAATTTCAAACAATATAAAACCATTAGTCATCAAAATAAACAAATCCAAATCATCGAAGCCCACACAAATAAATGAATTCGCATTGTTCATACCTGAAGAAGAAAATAGATGAGGAGAGATAGTTATGACGGAGATACTCAAGCTCCAACGGCGATAGGAAAAGAGTCAATGAGTCTAGGGGTGGAGCCAGGATTCGAATCCAGGGGTCCTCTTAATTCGTAGAAGTTATTATGTAAATTAGTCAATCACAAGTATACAACCCTACAAGAACAGCACAATCTTTTAGAACAACGCTAAAAACAGGTAACTTTCAAAGCATGTTATGTGAAGGAATGAGCACAAGATACAATAGGATACACGAATTATTTATTTTTCAGCTGAGATTAACCACATATAGTCATATACCTCCAGCAACCTTGAACAACTTATACATCCAGCAAATCTACTTCCTACCAATCTCTTCCTAAGGGAAGTTCTAATTGTCTTCAAGAAAGACAGAAAGTGATCAATTCCAAGTGTCTTGTTTTCTGTACCTTAATCAACAAGAAGAATTCCTCACAACTGAACAAGTCTATGTTAATTTTTATCCTAGTTAATTTATAAAGGGATGCACTTTCTTCTGAGGCTTTGTGAAATAACTACATTTATCCCCAGCATTTCATCGAACACCTTTCAGGCACTCCCCAAATCACCGTACTTAGTTTGATATACCGTATCTCAAACTTAGTTATTAAATTCTCAGCAATACATGACAGATGAACCTTTATCTCAAAACTTAGTTTCAATTTCTTAAAGTTTTAGTTCCCAAATCCAAACTGAATATGTAAATTGTAATCACTAATGTCAAAGTTTTTGGAGGATGAAATCTAACACGTCAATTACTCAAGGGTCAGGAGCGATTACTGATCCTAAACCCTAGAAAATTTCAACTTACCGAGAAGGGGAGGGAAGACGGTGAACAGCAACAATAGGCCGCCAAGGTACATGCAGACATCATACTCGCCTTTTGCAAAATCGTCTTTCAGCTGTGTTATATATCCTTTAAAATTAAGTTAAAATAGAGGTGGTAATATTGTATTAAATCAATCCAGTTAAATTATATATGTATCAAATTATATCAATTAAATTGGTACCGATTATTGTTGGTTCATAATGTTATATCAAGTACATAAACTTGGTTGGTGCACGGTTATGACAGCTGCATATTACGGTAGTATCATGGTATCGACTTATTTATTTGTTATTAGCTTTTTTTATATTTTGTTGTATTTGATATTAAACCTTATAACTTTAATTATTTTATTTGAACATTTGGATGTTTGCAAGTTCTATTCCTTGCAATTAAAACCCGTTAAACATCACATGTATTACCTGGAAGCATGGACGGACCCGGCTGGGTGGTTTAGGTGGCATGTGCCACCGTATTATTTATCCGTTAAAGAGTAAAAAAATTAGGTTTGTGAACGATACAACCGTACTGTTTTAGAAAGTGTTACCGTATTTTCCTGAAACCCAAATCGTGTAACATGAAACCTAAATAAAACAAAGCCCAAATGGCCAAATCAAAAGCCTAATATGCAAAGCCCAATTAATCAAACAAACTACAAAGGCCTTAGGCTTAGCCCAATAGCCCTTAAACTTAGTAACCCGGCCAATGAAATTACGAGAATAAACATGATCAGGTCCAAGTCGGCAAGCAAGTCCAGACCAGACAGCAGCGAGTGAGTGACATAAATCGAAAATCGGCTGGAAGACTCGAACGATTCTCAACTCTCAAGTGACGATTCTCGAACGATTTTCACTTACTACATGGTTATTTGGTGACTTTGGTCTCTGTTTTCACTTTTCAGATTTAGCCATTTATGTAAAAAAAATTGGAGATGATTTTTTGAATTATGCTCTCATTTGTGCCATAGAAAAGAAAGCACATAATTATGTTAAAAATGAAGATGTCATCGATCGTTTCCAAAAGATGAAGACATGTCGAGGACAAATTTAGGAGTTGTTTCTCTATTCTATAAAAGCCATACTTTTTATAATAATTTTTTGGTATATATTGACCGTTTTCAAAAGATGAAGACGCGTCGGATACAAGTTTAGGAGTTGTTTATCGTTCCTATAAAAACCATATGTTTTGTAATTATTTTTGGATCTATATTATATTATATTAATTATACGGTGCCACCGTTTGAAAAAAATTATGGGTCTGTCCTTGTCTGGAAACTCAAAATTTACTTAAATTTTGATTAAAATTGACAAGTTTTCATGTATAATGTGAAGTTGGAAGAAAACCGGTACCAACATTTACCAACCAAAAAAAGTTGGTACCACTAAATCAGTACTAAGGGGGTGTTTGGAATTGCTTATTTAAAACAACTTATGCTTTTTTGTAAAAGTGTTTATTAACTTATGTGGTATCAAACCGGAGTTAATAAAACAAGATTAAAATTATAAACTGGTAATAAGCAGTTTTTCATAAGTCATGAAAGATTAACTTATCAAAAACAACTTATTACCGGTTTGGCACCGGTATAAACAGTTTTTTTTTCTTATCCAAACACCAGAAAACAGCTTATCACCGATGCCAGACTGAAATAAGTTAAAAAACAGCTTTTATAAGCAATCTCAAACACCCCCTAAGTACAGTTGGTTGGTACATGATGTCGAATTTGTGTACCAATTATAATTGGTTTATACACGGTATTAGAGAAAAAAACTTGGTATCGTACCAAGTCACCTATAAAGTTAAGCATCTCTAACGGGTTTTAATTAGAAAATCAAAAATCTAAATAATTTCATTCTAATATTAATCATAATATTAATATATTATATTAATTATCATTCTAATGCATTTTTTTTAAATTTATATAAAATAATAATCTAATCTTATTGGTTTTTTATTTTAAAGAATATTTTAGAGAATCTATTAGAGTAAAATAGAGAACAAAATCTCTATTTTCTATATTTTAAATAATTTGTTAGAGATGTTTTTAAAAGTCAAAATCTTTAAAAAGAACTACATTCAATACCAACAACTACTGTATTTCAGCAATTATAACATTAATTATATTATTAAAATATTAGTTATAATTAATAAAATATTATTTCTCTTTTCCAAACATTTATTTTTAATTCGTATTATTGGTAGAAATTTATTAAAATAATAATTTCTCATTCTATTTAAAAAATCCTTTAAATTTAGGAATGTTTACAACCTCTCTCTCCTTTTCTCTATTTCAGCATACAAGATAGTATTCTTGAAGCAAAAGAAATTGCTAATTCCCCCCCCCCCCCCATTTTAGCATAGTTGTTGGAGATGCTGTTAGAGCACCTTCAACATCTATGTTAAAATAGAGATTTTGGAGATGTATGATATATTTTTTTTCTCCAACAACTAATTCGATTCATTTTTCAGTTAGGTCTTGCGTTATCTTGTTTAGGGGTTATTACTTCTTTGGTCGATCGCCACTCGTCATCTATTTTCATCGTTCAACTCTTTAACAAATGCTATAACATATGTTAAAGTAGAAAAAAGAAAAGAGGGTACAAATCTCCAAATTTTGAGAAATCTTTAAGCGTCCGTTTGGTTTGCATGATTGTTTTTAAGGGATTGAACTTCATGGAAGGATTTGGATTGGAATGAATTTGAAATCATTGGTGTGGTTGGTTTATAGGATTTGGAATAAAATAGAACTTCATTACTTATATATAATTTATAAAAATAATTACAAAAATAATTGAATTACATTTTTATTAATCGATTATTACAAAACAAATGTTTTTAACATTTTTTAAAACCTTATTGCATACAATCCTACGAAATGACGTGAAATCCCGAGCACTTCCTAAGGATTTCAAAATCCTATATTTGAAAGATTTCAATTAAATTATTGGATTTCAAATCTGGACAATCAAACAAACCAAACATGGAATTGGAATGGATTTGAAATGCAAATCCCCCAAATCTATTCAATTTCTGCAAACCAAACGGGACCTAAAACTCCATATTTAAGATAGAGAAATCATATTTAATTCTTTCTCACAAATAAAAGACATTGAAATTAAGTATTTAGGAAAGAGAAATAATATTTTAGTAAATATATTTAATATTTTAATAATATAGGGAATTGCTAAAAACATAGTAGTTGTTGGAGTTGGATGTAATTTTTTTTAAAGATTTTAACTTTTGATACTCTATTTTAGAAAAACTATATCATAATTATTAGAGATGCTGACCATCCAATAGAATACAATTTCTAAAACAATTTTTTAAGAGCCAATTTAACTTCAGAAATTATCTATAAATTATTTTTTGCTATAATGATTTTTTATCAATTTCTTAAGTGAAACCTTATCATAAAAACTTATATTTTAATTAAATATTATTTATTATAACTTAATACCAAATAATCTATCAATTAATTGTAATCTATTTACATATATTTTATTTATTTATATTTTTTTTCACATTAAACACATAACATTTAATAAGGGGGCGGTTGGATTGGATAATGTTTTTGGATAAAATGGAATCTGTCAAAAGAATTTGATTTTGAAGGAATTAGAATGAAATGTTATCAAGTTTGATCATTTGATTGATTGGCAGACATTGAAATTGAATCTGTTAAAGGAATTGGAATCTGTTTTCTAGCTCATGTAATGTAGCTTTAGAATTGGAATAAAATATTAAGAAATGTTGATCCAAACTCTCTAAGTGATTTGATGATGACCCTTTATACTTAGTGAATATACTTAGTTCTGTTTTTGTCAGTTTCAACGATCATCATTGAGTTTGTTTAGTGATCGTTGAAGGTGTATTGTAACTGTCTTAGAACTTAAGTATTCCTCAAAAACAAAACTCACACCAAATAAACATTCGGTGCTATCAAAGATAGAGCTCAAGATAGAGACCAGTCTATTCATGATTTGAAACAGACATTCAATGATAATAAAACTGTCTACAACAAGTGTGAAATCTGACCAAAACTCAACGATAGCTGAAGAGTCCTCACCAATTCCTTAGTATCACTGATCAAAGAGTCTTGCATAACCAGATTAACTTTTGTATGCTAAATCATGTGTAAGGATAGTTGTTGAGAAGTTCATCTGTTCTGAATTAAAATTGGTTCATGTCTTCTAAATAATGATACTACTAACTCCAATAATTAATTTAAGCATTATCCACAAGGGAATATTACAATAATTTTTATGAAGGTTTTGAAAATTAATTAAAAAAGAACAACTTGATTCCAAATCTTCAAGTGTTAACTACAATTTTGGTACTTGTGGTTTACATCCAACTATGAATAACGTCCCTAAACTTGATTAAGTATAATAACAGTCACTAAGGTTTACGTTTGCTTTAAAAAATCATTAATCCAATTTGTTAAATCAGTAATTCATTCTCTTCTAGAAAAATACCCATTTGCTTTTCAAATAAATATCAGATTGTCAATTTACTTTTAAATTATTTTTTTAAAATATAACAAAATTATACCAAAAAACAAAGAAATTATTATCTTTAATTTAAGATATATATATATATCTATATATATATATATATATATATATATAAAAGATTCACATATGAATCTCAAATTGATTAATAATCTCAATTATAAACTGTAAATTGATTCACTTATACTTTTAGTTAGGATTCACATATGAATCTATATTATGATTCACGTGTTCACATATTAACATCTATGTTCTTCATTGGCCGTTTGAGATGTAACCAAACGCTAAAGATTCTAACAAACCATTATTAAATGGTGATAATTATGTGTATATTGGTTCATATATGAAAAAGTRAATCATAACATATATTCATATAACTGCTAGGTAAATCAATTTAGAACTTATAACCGAGATTTTGAATCAATTTAAGATTCATATATGAATATGTGAATCCTAACATAGATTCACATGTGAACCTTAATTATGACTTGTATGTGAATCAATTTACAATTTATAATTCTGAACCAGTTTAAGATTCATGTGACTCCTAATAATATTTTGAATCTTAAATTTAAGATAATTAAATTCTCATTTTTGGTATATATATTTTAGATAATTTAATTTAATATAAAATGGGTGATCTTAGTTAATTATATACAAAAGAAAATGGTTATTTAAAAAAAAAAAAAAGTTGATTAAGATTTAATTATACAAAAGCTTCAAAATCCCCCTTAACTTCATTAGATTCTTTAAATTAGTCATAATTTCTGCTATGGTTACATGTTTTCCTTTCAAAATATTGGTTATCGAAAAAAACTTATCTAATGGTTGAGATCACTTCTTGCCTTCTAAAAAATTTTGGGTTTCTCATTTGAACCGTCCCTTACTTAGTTCGTCCTTTGTTTTTGATTTAGGTACAAGCTAAAACAAATAAGGACAAAAGAATATGGGTAAAATGTCAAAAATACCCCTTATTTAAGAATTTTTAGCAATGTTAAGTTGACAGACCAATATCAAAGTCAAATGCATACCACAATGACAATTAATGTACTTGATGAAATTTAGGGACATTATTCGTAGTTGGATATAAACCACAAGGACCAAAACTGTATTTTACTCATTAGTATTACTACTGTATTTTACTCATTAGTATTACTAACTTACCAAACATTCAAAAAGAAATATTATAGTCATCGACTATAAAGAAGCAACCTAACCCTTCTATTTTGACAAGCAAGAGGGTTGAGGCCACAATTTCCGTTCATAGTGGAATTGGTCTACAATATGTTCATCAGAGAACGATTGCTTCATTAAAGTGAAGTGACTCTTATATCTTCATCAAACACGTCTTCCTTATTGGAGCGAAGCGAATGCTTACTAACTCAAGATCATGGATCAGCTTTTTCTCGTCATTGTCGTCATTCTTTATTTTCGTGTTGCAATCTCAACATTAGCAGGGAGGGTAGAGTATCTTCCAGGCTTTCAAGGACCCCTCCCTTTTCATTTGGAAACTGGGTATAGACTCATTCCACCTCTCTACGTATGCTATTACTTTCTACAGATTATCTTGCTCATATGTTTCTAACCCAGATGTGCACATATTTCTGTAGTTATATAGGAGTGGACGAGAATGAAGATGTTCAACTGTTTTACTATTTCATACAGTCGGAGTCAAATCCTAGGGATGATCCCCTCATGCTATGGATCAGTGGCGGTCCCGGTTGTTCTTCTATCACTGGCCTCCTCTATTCAATCGGTATTTCTACTTCTTTATCTTGAATCAAAATCATATATCAGAGTAGTCGTTTTGGAGTTTATTTTTTGTAAATTAAAAATTGTTTATCATTGTATATACAATGATACTACTAACTCCAATAATTGAAGCATTTCCACAACCGAATATTATAACTTTTATGAATGATTAGAATTTATTAAAAATGAATAAATTTGATTCCAAATTCTTATGAGTTGATTTTGGGGGTATTTGGGATTGTTTATTTGAATACACTATATCAATTTATTATAAGTCAGAATGGTTTAACTTCTTCAAAAACTCTCTATTATCGGTTTGACACCGGTATAAGTTGTTTATCCAAACACTCAAAAGTGTTTATTACCATTGACACACCAGAATAAGTCAATAAATTATTTCTATAAGCAATCCCAAACACCTCCTTCAATATTGGAACACAAGCTTCTCCACACCTTTAGTTGCCATCCTATTGTAAAAAAAAAGGTATGTATTCATATTGATTTTAGAAATCCTATAAATAAAAAAGACACCAATAAAATTGGTTTTATATAACATTTAAAATGTCTAAGCATTCTAATAAAATATATTATTGGACTTAAGTTTATAGGATTAAAGCAAAAAGTTTCGTATCTAAAAGTGATACAATAAGTTTATAGGACGTTTTAACAAGTTTTTTTAGGATGATCTTAAAATAAAGTGTGGTATTAATTTTTTTGGTACGACACTGTTAAAAAAGTGTCTTATAAACATAAGTTTCCTACAAAAAGATAAATTTACAAGACATTTATCAAAAATGTTGTATAAAATAGCTGATACAACACTTTAACTTAAAAACGTCATATAAATCTATATTAACGATTTTAAATATGAAGCTTTATATATAAACTAGTCCTATACTAATTTATGTGTTATAAAGTAATCTATTAAAACGTTTAGATATGATATATATCTTATAAAACCAATTTTATTATTATAGAGATATGTGTATTTTTGTAAAATCTTTTCAGACGGTTATGTATATATAATTAGGGGGTGTTTGGGATTACTTATTTGAAACAACTTATGTTTTTCTACAAAAAACATTTATCAACTTATTATAAGTCAGAAGGGTTTAACTTTTTCAAAAACTTCTTATTACCGGTTTGACACCGGTATAAGTTGTTTATCCAAACACTCAATGCTTATTACCGATGTCACACCGGAATAAGTCAATAAGTTGTTTTTATAAGCAATCCCAAACACTCCCTAATTAATAGTCAAATGTGAAATTCGATACATTATTTGTTTTTTAATATAATTTTTTATTTAAATAATTTTTTATTATTGAGAATCGATGCATTATTTGTTTTACAATGTGAACATATGAAACAAAAAGTACAACTAAAAAGTTTCATATTGTGAACTAATTGATATGAACAAACACATTATGAAATAAATATATGTTAAATATGTTAAATTTTAGATCTAGATGGAAAAAGAGATTTTTAGATGTATAACTTTAAATGAGGTTTTAATTAAATCCATGATCTTCTTTGGGGTATAAACCTATTTTTTTTCTTACTAGAAGGGCATTCGTACAATGCAGCGAGATACATCTCGATTTTAATGTTTCCTTTTTTTTGTGTTGATGTTGTAATACAGTTTTATGTGGTTTTGAAAAAACAATAATGTTTTTATTTTTGAATCAAATATATATATGAAGTATCATAAAAAATTGAAAAAAAATATTGATATTAGTACGAAACTAACTATTTCGTTTTTTATGTATTTCTTTAATTCGTTCTTTTTTGGTTTAATAATATATTTTTTATAAAGATAATAATCAAGTATTTTGTTATAACTCATTAATTATCCTAATTATATTTTAGATTTTTTATATTTAAAATGAGATGTTTATCCTTTATTTGATTATGTTAGTTATACAAATTCAAACATAATGCTTTAATAAGTTGTATTTACGCACAATTTATTTGTAATCTTGAATTTTAATTAATATACATTAATAAACGTTACTTAATGTATAAAAATTGATTTTTTAAGAACTTTTATTAAATGCTTTACAATATAGTATAGATATAGACATGAGGTCATGAATTTAATTAAAAACTAATTTAACCCAATTTAAACAATGCAGGTCCAATAAAATTTGTGGAAGTGAATTACAATGAAAGCTTGCCAACCTTGATTTTGAGGCCAAATTCGTGGACGAAGGTATCTCTATCCCCGCACACACATATAATATATATATATATATATATATATATATATATATATATATATATATATATATATATATATATATATATACTTGATTTTGAGGCCAAATTCGTGGACGAAGGTATCTCTATCCCCGCACACACATATAATATATATAGGTGGGTTATTATACAACCAATCTCAACTCAATCTCAACCGTCCATTTAATTTGATGAGTATATGATTTCATAAAAGTTTTGATTATTTCATAATATAAAGTATTGATCATAATTAATGAATTATATTCATCTTTTATAAATATTCAAGTCATAATATAAAGTATTGATCATAATTAATGAATTTTATTCATCTTCCATAAATATTCAAGTCATAATAAATGAACTCTCATCATTTTCATAAATATCTCAATTTATTGAGTTGTATTGGTTGTACAAATGTGATAGGTTGCATTTGAAACAAACTATATATATATATATATAT